CAGGAGTAAGGCATCCTTCACATGAGTTTAGCATCATAATTTCTGATCCTAAAGAAGTTCACAGAGTTAAAATAAAAGGAAGCAGAGGGCAAGTATGGATCAGATATCCTCAGTCTGACAAGGAGAGGCAGAAGCTAAAGTGCCTCTGTCATTGAAAGCTACCAGCTGGATGGATAAAACAGAAAAACAAGGCACACCCTACAGGGGGAGCATCTTCTTCCCTTGACTCCTTTTTTTTTTCCTTAAGAGCTGCAATTCCTTCTAATTCTTCCTTTGAGATATTCCATCATCTTACTGCATCAGGCTCAAACGTAGCTCAAAGTAAACAATACTGAGTCATGCTGGCCTTCGCTCTCTCCCCTGTGTTTCTCATGGAGCAATATTTTAAATGTCCTAGGATAAACATTGGCAGATTTTAGTATGTTAGTTTTAAACATTTTAAAAAGGGAAATGGTAGAAATTAAATAAAAGTATTGTTTTGCAAAGATGCCTGTATTTAGGGTGGAATTTCTTGGGATTTCCAGCTGCAACCTGGAGTGGCTGCTGCCAGAATGTGGAACCAGCATCCTCTGCACTCTTTAATGTCTTCCGGTCACGCTGCAAACTTTTAACTGACTTAACATGCTGGAACAACTTTGTTATTTTGTGAATAATGGCAGATATTACTTTAATAAGCAATTACATCATTACATAAAGTAATGGCAGTAAGTAGTGACTGTGATTAAGGACCCCAGCTCAGACATTTCTGTAAATTACCTGTGTCCCCAAATTCAGCTAAATGTGATCAAGGATTATTCTGACAACTAGTATCAGGAGTAGGCTCCTTGTTAAACATCTGTGACCATGTGGCTGGTTTTCCTACACATTTTCTTACAGACTGTTGTGAACCAAAACTTAGAAACAGTACATTTGTGAGGGATAGTCTTGACCAAGATTAAGTAGACTGAACTAATAGAAGCTAGAGATATTAAAAACTATGATTAAATATATTTAGTAGAATCATAGAATGGTTTGGGTTGGAAAGGACCTTAAAGATCATCTAGTTCCAACCTTCTGCCGTGGGCAGTGACATTGTGCTCCCACTAGAGCACATTGCTCAAATCCAGCCTGGGCTTGAACACCTCTAGTGATGGAGCATCCATGACTTCCCTGGGCAACCTGTTCCAGTGTCTCACCACCCTCCTAGTGAAGGCCTTCTTCCTTACCTGTAAACTAGATCTGCCCTCTCTCAGTTTGAACCCATGACCCCTTGTTGTAGCACTAGAATCTCTTGTAAAAAGTCTCTCCCAGCATTCTTGTAGGACCCCTTCACATAGTGGAATGCTGCAATAAAGTGTCCCCAGAGCCTTCTCTTCTCCAAGCTGAACAATCCCAACTATCTTAGCCTGTCCTCATAGGAGAGGTAGATAGATCTAAGGTAATGTAATGTGGTATGGTATAACATAGCCAGTGGTGAAGAGAGAAGGAGCCATACAACACTGCACAGAATTACTTACACTGTGGAACTGACAACTCAAGACTTAAGTTAACGGTTAGCTGACAGTTCAGAGTTTGGCTGCTTTGCCAGCATCTCTCCCTTTTGAGTGCATGTCAGTCCCACACCCTGGTTTCCTGTGCCCCACCTGGGGCAGCATGAGAGAGCAGGTATCTGAGGACAGGACTGAGTGCCTCGAAGCTGGTGTGAGCACGGTAGCGCTGGTTCAGTATGCTCGTGGAGCAAAGCTGTCAATGAGCATCCATGAGCATACATCTGAGGAGTATCCACTTGGCTGAATCTGAATGCATTTCTACAAGGACTGCAGAAAGATCTTTTATTAGTCTAGAACCAGCCAATGCTCACGTTTCAACTTCCTCCTTCAAACTCTGGGAGGGAGTGGGTGTTTTCAAAGAAGCAATGCAAGCTGAGGAAATAGGGAAAAATCTCATAAGCACTGACAAAACTATTTAACTAATAGGATAGAACCAATTCTCAAATTTCAGAAACAATTGAAGGAAAACAGAAAAATTCTTAAAAATGAGCAAACTGTAGCAAAGTTGTAAGACAGTGTAGCAGAAAATGTTGGACAATCTTAAGTGTAGGCTTAACAGCTCAGTCTGTTTTAAAACATGATAACCTTTAAAGGTCACCTCACTTGGATGCTCTTGTACCATTTGTACAAACTTATGAATAAAGAGTGTTCCACCCCAAAAGAGCATATGTTATTTTACACACATACTTCTGGAAAAAAGGCTGCTTTAATTTAACAATCTGAATATGACTTTATCTGACTATCTTTACAGCCAGAACTTTTGAATTGATTTTTCCAGTCACATAGAGTTTGTAGCATAACCATAAATAACAGTCAGGTCTTCTGACTCCTATCCCGTATGTCCTCATATTCCTATATAAAATTCCTTTTATCTCTTTTTCTGTTAAAATGACTATGCTTTTCAGTGATTCAGACCAGAAGACAAATGAATGCAAGAGATTTATTTATGAGTTCAAGGTGTTGTATTGCTTTCACAGACTATCTTACAATATGACCATGTGTCTATATTTGCCTTATGCTGACTAAATATACCTGTGTGTTATTTTCTGACACCAGCTATAGGGCTTGCTTGTGTCAATACTGTGAGTTTTAAGTCTAACATTCAGCTTTAAAGATTTCTAAAAAACAGTTTTGTGCTTTGGAATTTCTGGGTAAGATTAGATGAGTTTTGTGGTTTTGTTGTAGTAGTACAGAATCACAGAATGGTTTGGGTTGGAAGGGACCTTTAATGCTCACCTAGTCCAATCCACTTGCAGTGAGCAGGGACATCTTGAACAAGGTCAGGTTGCTCAGAGCCCCACCCAGCCTGACCTTGAATGTCCAACCTGTTCCAGTGTTAGGGATGGGCTGATGTACATCAGCACAGGGTCACTGAATGCTTTTTTAAAGAGAACTTTGGACTTAAGGGGAAATACTCTGAAAGCAGCAACAGGAGCTGCAGTGGGGCTGGTCAGGCAGTGTGTACATGGACTCTGGGCACCTGAAAACAGCTCAGGCAAACAGCTGTCCTGCTGCAGGACCAGTGTCAGCACTGGACATAACAGCAGCTGTATGAACGAGCAACCTTAACGTATCCACAGCACATTTTTCACTTCATCTAAAGCTACTGCCTGTATTAGTATCTTCTGTGGGTTAAGTGATCTCTTCCCTCTGTTGCAATTCTATCTAGACTTGAAACTCACAACATTAAAACAATGTTTGACAAATTCACATAGGAACAGTTTGTTTGTAGTTTATCTCAAACTGGTGTTTTAAAGTGAGTCACTGTTAAGGAAGGAGAAAATTCATGAACTCCTAAATAAAATGGCTTAAATATGGACTTGCTCTAGATATATTCAGAGTGAGTTATATATTTAAAGCAGAAAATAATAGCAGTGTCTCAGTAAAATAGAGCAGCTACAATTATTTTAATAGGTAACCACTCTACCAGGCTGAAAATTGAAGGCAGAGCATTACACTTTGCCTGCCTAGGGTCCATATATACTTTAAAATACTGTTTTCCTTCCTCGTGTCCTGTTACAGAGTGTTGAGTGCTTCATTAGAATAGTTTTCACTTCTCAGTGTGCTGCTTATTCTCTTAAAAGCTCACGGCTCTATCCCAGGAAATGTTCTTCTCCTTGTAAACTATTATGCTCTCTTAATTTACATCTTTCTCAGTACTCTTGCCTCTTATGCAATGTCCACAGATGCTGATGATGTGTAAGAATATTTGCCCTCTCTTACATTTCAGAAAACAAAACTCTTTTCTGTTTTGAAGACATCCACTAATGGCTCTTTTGAACTCACTGTTTATGGCTTTACATATTCTTTCCAAATATTATTTCACTGCAGCCTTCAAGCTAATTGTACCCACTCCAATAACTAAATCTTAGGGTTGTACAATATTAGCCATAAAGTTTGCTTTTTTATATATAAAAGTCGTATTAGTAAATAAAAAATTCTTCAAACTTTATGACAGAAATCAGCAAGGTAAGAATGGCCATTTCATTTGCTCAAAACTGTAAATTGCTTGTTCCATATATATTTTTTTAAACTGTATTAACCTCATCCTTCTCCCCTTACTTGGTGACAGGGAGTTGCATGGCTGATTGCATAATTTCAGGAGAAAATAAAAGAGACATGCCAAGCTGACCTGGGTGGTGATGGTATATAATCATACAATCAACTATATGAGCCTAGCTCATAGATGGTACTGGGAATCAGGAAGAAGATAATGGCAACAGAGATGGCCAGAGATTTGGGTTTATTATTAGTCCAATAGGATTTAAAAACCACTCTGCCTGGAGTTGACAGAAAGAGCTTACCTTGCAAGAACTGAAGGATATGAAAATACTAATGTGAAGACTGGGATCAGATATGTATGTGATGTCAGTCACACTTTGAGACACATCTCCCCTTCCCTTCCTCTCTTTCTCTCTGCAGGTTCCAGAAGGAAAAGTGGTGGTTCTTTCTTTCAGATATTTAGACCTGGAAAGTGACAACTTGTGCCGCTACGACTTTGTGGATATATACAATGGCCATGCCAATGGACAACGCATCGGCAGGTTCTGTGGCACTGTGAAACCAGGGGCCCTCGTATCCAACAGCAACAAAATGTTGGTGCAGATGACTTCAGATGCTAATACTGCTGGAAGTGGATTCATTGCAAAGTTTTCTGCAGCAGAACCGTATGAAAGAGGTAATTAACATATTTTCTGAAGACAAATATAGCCGTACAACTTCACAGAGAGCCACGTTAATGCTTAAAACAATGTGATGCCAGAGATGTTAGGGATTGTGCTGTTCAACATATTCATTTACTACCTTGCTTAACAAACAGAACAGTATAAATGTTTAGCCATCATAGTCAATCAAAGTAGTAAAGAGGAGGGCTAACTATTTTAAGGGCTGCAAGAACTGCACCTAGTAGCAATATGGTAATGGCTGGTCAATAAAATAGCAGATGAATTTCAATATAGATAAATCTTACAAGTAAGGGGAAAGGACCCTAACTTTGTTGCAGTATAGTGGGCTCTGAATTGGCTATTACTGCTTAGGAATGAGATCTTAGGTTTAAAACAGATACTTTACAAAAACAACAGTTGAGCATCAATCCAGTGCTCAATAGGTATCAAAAAAGAAATGGAAACTTAACCTTTGGAAAAGGGAATAAACCCCATACAACAACAAGTTACACTGCTATAAATCTGTAATGCATCCATATCTTGAATACTGTGTGCCATTCTGGTGTTCCCATCTCAGAACAAGGTATAAGAAAACTGTCAGAAGTAATCTGAGAGAACAAGTATGATGGAGTTAATCTTCTACACAAAGACTAGCTGCACAGCATGGACCTCTTCATGCTGGAAAAGAGAAGGTCAAGGCCAGTGTAGGAAAAGGTGCTAAAGACCTGAGTGGTATGGAGAAAGTGAACAGGGATCACAGTCACCGTCTATTCTGATACAAAAAAAACAGATGCAAAGGGAGGGAGAGGGTGATTTTCTCTCAGTGAGCTGTTAGGTGGTGAAGTGCTGTGCCAGGGGACATGGTAGTTTCTAGATTGGTTTAAAAAAAATTAGAAAAACATACAAAATAAAAATTTGTTAGGTATTAAACATAAAGGTATTGCCTTGTCCTTGGGAAGACCATGAACTGCAAGAGGCTGGGAGGTTACAGGGAGGTGGTACTGACCTGCTGAGTGACTGTTTTTCAAGACGTGCTATTAGCATGATACCAGACTAGACAGGTTGTTGGGCAGGTGCAGTGCAGGTGATGACTAACTCATTAGTCCTTCCAGTTGTATCCCTGTATTGATAACTTCTTGAAAGATATAGTAAACCACTGTGATGTGATAGAGTTAATTTAATAAAGAAGTTTCATAATCATATAATAAATAAGGGTTGGATACCTGATGCAGCTTTGTAATTTAGGACTGGGACGTGGTGATATGGTGGAAAAAAAACTCTCTCCATTGTGGGCTCTCCACAGGCTGCAGTTCCTTCAGGACTGCCCCTCAGCCCAGGCACAGCTCCCCATGGGCTGTGGGAGTGTCTGCTTTAGCACCTGTGGTTTCTTATCCCCTGGCCCTGGTGTTTGCAAGAATGCTTCTCGCTCTTTTTCTTACATCAGCCCATCCATGCCCACCCCCACTTTGCTGTGTCTGGCATTTTCTGCCCTTTATGAAATACGTTTTCCCAGAGGTGCCACCATCAGAGCTGAAGGGCTCAGCCATGTCCTGTGGTAGGGCATGGCAGAGGCATCCAGCCCCGGCTGGCACCAGGGCTGTGCCCCTCAGCCAGGCCCTGCAGTGGAACAAGCGCGTGGCAGGGCTTACCTGGGCCCCTTTGCACGTGCTCAGCGTGGTGCCCTGTACCTGCAGGAGATCAGTACTGTGGGGGACGACTGGTGAAGCCCTCAGGATCCTTCCAAACGCCCAACTGGCCAGAGCGAGACTACCCCGTGGGAGTCACCTGCTCCTGGCACATCATTGCCCCAAAGAACCAGGTAAGGTGCTCGTTGCCCCACCAGCACGCCCCAGCTAGCCCCTCATCACCACCCTGCTTGCACAACAGCTGCCTGCATGGCAGTGCAGATGTAGAGTTGAGTAGATGCAAGGAGTGCAGGCACACCTACCCTCCAGCAGTGCCTGCCTTCCTCTCCTCTATTGCCTGGCTCACTCCAGTAGCTCCTCTGCTTTCTCAACACTGTATGCCCTCTTCTGGGCATTGATACATTTAAAAATTAAACTTTTTAAAGCATCTGTGACTGCTGAAGCTTTTAAAATAGATTTTTTTGAAGATCATTTTGTTAATTAACAGAACATAATGCGAACTAAGTTAGAGCAGGTGATCATCTCAGGACCGAGCATGATGATGACCAATGCTAGCTTTAAGTCTAGCAAGATTTGTAGCATTTTCAGTGTTGCTACAGTTTGTTTTTGAGGTACCCAGGGAGAGCTGATTGAATTTATTAAAAACAGAAATTATCTTATTCTGCTTACAGTAAAGGGAATATATTTGAATGTGTCCTGCACAGGGATTTTTTTCAATGTATGTTTCATAAAGTATGGGGTTTTTTTCCATATTTTGAAAGCTTCATCTCATGCTTGCTTAATTAGCCAGATGCCGTCAGAGCATACGCTACCACTTCATTAAGACCTGAAGAGATGTGACAGCAGACTAAGCTGTCATTTGCCACCACCTACCACATATGGCAAACACAACTGTGCTCTCTGTGCTCCAGGGCTAATCTCAATCCTAGCCTCACATTTTCTGGTTGTTGCTGAGCCATCTGCTCTGTTCCTTGGCAGGAATTCTGCAATGACTGAATATTTTTGTCACAAAGCATAGTTTTCTTAACCAACTTCAGCTCTTTTAATTCGTCTACATGTAAAGACAACTTTCTTCTGCTCATGACCATAATCCTCCAAATAAAAAGGCTGCCCTAGATAAATATATTCTTCAAATCTTTCATACTTTTCCATTTACCAAGATATTTTTTTCTCTTGAACTGAAGCAGAATGTCAGCTTAGTCTTTCCTGTACTCCCCTTTAATCCACATTCCTTGCTTGCTAGATACAGATCATTTAACAACCCTATAGATGGCCAGTGATTTTTAAAACTTTTATCTGTAAACTACTGATTACTCTGGTTCTTTCCAAATGTATCGAGATATGCTTAGAAACTTTTCCTAAGCTAGTAGAAAAGATGTAAAAATAAAGGCATTATATCCTGTGCCTTTTGAAGATCCTGTTCCATAAATCTGTAACTTTCTGAATATGCATTTTTCATGTACTGGTTGGTTGCATGCAAATGAGGCAGAATTTTGACAGTGACAAAAGCCGCTTTTGAGGAAGCAGTGAATAAGCATCTCTCTTCAAGTGCACAGGAAAAGCTATTTACCCTTCCATTTGCCAGAGCCTAGGTGCTGGTACCTGTACTTTCCTTTCACAAGCATGTGAGCAATAAAACAAGGTACTCCTTTGCTTCTAATACAAACCAATAATTACTTCATTTATTAAAGAAGGTGGAGGAGCTTCTCATGGTGGAGACCTACTAGTCTATCATTAAATACTTCTTTATTAGTGTGAAGTGCACTTATGACCAATAATAATGTAGATATTATTGCCAGCTCTTTTGCCTGTAATGGAGAAATTTAGCATTATGGCTCTCAGTTGTGTTAGTTATTTTTATGCCATTTTTCTTGACCACAAACTTATTATTCAGATGGGTACTTACGTTTAAAGTGCATTTTTTCATCTTGGCAACAAGACTTTTGAAACAAGCCTGTTACTCATCTTTGAAACCAAGTCCTCCTAGGTTACTTCATGGGAAACATGATGCCTTACACATCTAATAGTGCAAAACCATATCCAGGCAAAGCTAAGACACCAGGTGATAACAGGCTATCATTACTATGAATGCAGAACAAGATCATTTTTGCTATGTCACTAAATCAGTTAAAGTGTATGCAATGTACAAATGACTCCTTTTTCTTCGTACAGTCTTAAAAGATTTAGTACCATCTTTGTCTGAGACAGAGATCTTTAAAGGGAAATCCTGCATATCTACAATCAACGCTATTCAGTGTTATCTTTCAAGCCTCACCTGTGCTGTTTATGGAAAGGTGATTTAAATACTGTTGTGCATCATATGAAGAAGCAACCTCAGTGCATATCTCACCTCTGTTTCAGTCACGTAGTTATGCTGTGTTTCCCCTTGTTGCTACACGCAACTGACTGAACAATCCTGCAGGACTTCCATTTCACAGAAGTCAATTCCATTTCTGTTTTCTTGTCCATTGTTTTTCAAGTAGAAAAGTCCATAAATACAAGTCAAATTGGAGATAATAGCATCAGTACTGGAAATGCCAGAGTTATAGTAGTTCTCATGTATGACTGTGAAGCCCTAAGGTTTAGGGAAATTGTGGATGGAAACACAGTTCCTTACCTTCTCGTGGTTTTAGTCTTCCTATTTACAAATCTTCTTTCTATCAATATTTTTGTTTCTCACCTTTGTGTTTCTGCATTAAGTAAGTACAGCACTGGCAACCAGTGATTCAGACTCTGCTCTTAATTAAATCAGTGAGATGTGTCTCAATAACTTGGCCCTTGCTTTTTCCTTAGCAGATCTTGAATGATACAATGACACCAAACACACCTTTTCTGTGGTCTAGATTTGTTACAGTTATTTTAAAAGCAACTTAGTACCTAACACCTACTCGCCTGTTGTCATTCATTGATAAAAATAGCTTTATCAGAAGTTACTTGCATATATTTGAGAAGACAATGGTTTATAGATAGTTGTATGTTGAACTGTTTGTTGGAGGGAAATCACATGGATTAAAATACGTTTACTCCACAATTAAGTGCATTAAGGACTTTAAGGACTTTTCCTTTATGGAAAGAAAAATGAATTAGTACTTCACGTGAAGAGCTAAGATCATTTACTCACTCTCGTACTCTCCCTTACTATGAAAAGCACTGTCTGCAGATCAAAACCTTACTGAGTTATTTGCACTTTCCCTGCAGCTAATAGAGTTAAAGTTTGAGAAATTTGATGTGGAGAGAGACAACTACTGCAGATATGACTATGTCGCAGTGTTTAATGGTGGAGAAATCAATGATGCTAAAAGAATTGGGAAATATTGTGGAGACAGTCCACCAGCGTAAGTAACTGCCTTGAATTATGAACTTCACCACCACTATGTGCCATTTCACTAACTGTTCTGTACTAAGCTTCTGAAAGATTTTTATTGTTTTTAAAATGAAATATAACTTTTTGTACCTCCAATTGAACTTCTAAGAGTTGTTTAATATCTTGTCTCTCCCTAGGTTTTCCCTTTTCTTTCTCCCTCTATGACTAGCCCTGGCTCCAACCTGTGTTCTGTCCTGTCCCTGAAGCCTCATTAGAGCACAGTCTAATAACATCAATACTAATGCTGTTGATGTTGGTGTAATACCAATATTAATGGCAGCTGAACATCATCATCACTTAATACCTATGTTTTCACAGAATCATAGAATGTATGTGGTTGGAAGGGACCTCTAAAGGTCATCTAGTCCTACCACCTGCAATAAGCAGGAACATCTCTAACTAGGTCAGGCTGCTCAGACCCTCATCAAAGTTTGATGTCTCCTTGGGAGACACCTTGAATGTCTCCAGGGATGGGGCCTCCATCATCTCTCTGGACAACTTATTCCAGTGGTCTAACAACCTCATGTTGAAGAAGTTTCTCCTAATGTCTAGCCTAAATCTCCCCTTTTCTATCTTAAAGCCATTATCCCATGTCCTGTCACTACAAACCCTTGTGAATAGTCCCTCCCCAGCTTTCTCGTAGGGCCCTTTCAGGAACTGAAAAGTCACTATAAGGTCCCCCTGAAGCTTCCTCTTCTCCAGGCTGAACAACCCCAACTCCCTCAGCCTGTCGTCATAGGAGAGGTGCTTCAGCCCTCTAATAATTTTTGTGACCCTCCTCTGGATGCCTTCCAACAGTTCCACGTCCTTCTTGTGCTGAGGGCTCCAGAGCTGGACACAGAACTCCAGGTGAGGTCTCACCAGGGCAGAGCAGAGGGGCAGGATCACCTCTCTCCATCTGCTGGCCACGCTGCTTTTGATGCAGCACAGGATTTGATTTCGCTGCTTTTGATGCAGCCCAGGATTCGATTTGCCTTCAGGGCTGCTGCTACACATTGGTGGCTCATGTCCAGCTTCTCCTTTACTGGTACCCCCAAGTCTTTTTCCAGTGGACTGCTCTCTAGCATGTCCTCTCCCAGCCTCTATTGGTAATGCTGGTTGTTCTGGCCCAGGTGCAGGACCCTGCACTTGGTCTTGTTGAACCTCATGAGGGTCACCTGAGCCCATCTTTCCAAATCAGTGCCCTCCTATGTCTACAGCACATGTCTGGTCCTGGGACAAGAATTAGCAGGGCTCATTGAAAGAGCTTTAAACTAGAGTAAAGAGGGGATGGGGAGGAAACTGGATTTGCTAGAGAGGAGCCTGGGCACAGCATGTCAGAGCTTGTGGGGCAGTGTGCTAATAAGGTCTTTCAGTCTGTTGTCTCAGTAGAGGTGGGGGATGGTGGTCCACACAGCAGCAAAGACACAAGCATTATTGATAGGTTAGTAACCATGAAAGCAGCTGGGAATAGTCAGGTAGGAATTGGGGATTCTCTCCCCAGAAAGGTGGTGGGACCATTAATTAGCCCAGCTGAAATGCATCTACACCAATTCACCCAACTTTGAAGAAGGGGTGGCCAAGAAAGAAGAGGTGGTGTGGTGGCTCTGTATGTTAGGGAGAGTTCTGAATGACTGCAACTTAATGATGGTGACAATAGGGTTGAGTCTTTATGGGTAAGAGTCAGGGGGAAGGCCAAGAAGGCAGCTGTCATGATGGGATTCTGTTAGAGGCCACCCAACCAGCATGAAGAGGTAGGTTCTAGGGACATGGTTTAGCAGTGGACTTGGTAGAGTTAGGTTAATGGTTGGAATCAATGATCTTGAAGGTCTTTTCCAGCTGAAATGATTTTATGATTCTTTGAATACTGCAGCAAGAAAAGCATAATCTGTGCAACTACCACAGCATCTGTCAATCCACAGAATTCCAGATAACCAGACACTTAATTTTGGTTATGTCAAACTCAGCCATCAGAGTAAACTGATTTCTGAAACACCTGCCAAAAACCTGCCAGATGATCACAGGTTTTTACTTCAAAGGCCTGATAAAGTGCTTTGAATAACTCCAGCTCATGAGATCTGTGAGACTTGCTGGGACCTCCATTCCAGAGAATTCAATGAAGTCACACAGAAGAATTAAGATACTCATGTTGATGAAACCTTCAGGAATCAGAGGTTTAGATGATTAATCAGAATTAGTTTCACAACCAAAACATCAGTGTCTGACATGCCTGCAAAATAAATATGTATTTCAGTATTAGTCTAGGGGCAGATCCTGCATTCAGACTAATAATTAAAGTGCTCCCCTTTTTTTTTTTTTTGGGGGGGGGGGGGGGTAAGAATGCTATTGATGCTTTTTGTCTTTGACTTTCAAAACAATGGAAATAATTTTGTTTTTCTATTTCAGGCCTATTCTGTCTGAGAGAAATGAGTTGTTTATTCAGTTTTTGTCTGATTTAAGCTTAACAGCTGATGGTTTTATTGGCCATTATAAATTTAGACCATATAAGTTACCCACAACTACAGTTTTACCTATTACCACAGCAGTGCCTACTACCTCACGTAAGTTTTACTGGCTTTATTTTACATCTCAGAGAAATAAATTATTCCAGGACAAGGGGAGGGTTCTGAAAAATGTAATAGAAAATGTATTAAAACCCACAGGTTTAAGGTTAGTTAATTAATATTTTAAAAGATGAAGGAATGGATTAAAATTAATATACTCAATTGAGAATCTATTTAACATTATTAAAAGAAAATCTATCCAGGCAAGAGTTTAGTATGACAGTGACTCACTCCAGCAGAGAGGATTGTCTCTTCTCAATTTTTGACATTAACTAGCAAATTCCATAGAAGAAGGGATGAGCAAAATTCTTTTCTTTAAGAAGTTCTCAATATTTCAGGAAATAGTTTTGTATAGAAGAAAGAGTTCCTTTAAATAAGTTAATATGTAAAAATATAGTTATTAAAATCAAGCAAAATTGGTATGGAAGCCACCTGAGCATTATTCAGATTCTGTCAACATCCTGTCAATATGACACTCTCTTGGAATTAGTTTAATTTTAAAAAATTCAGGGATTGGAACTTACAAACAAATGTCACACCAAAAATAATTTTTCTTTTATATTTAAGACCAGACAGCATATATGAAAGATCAGAGGAGGATTTCTCTGAAGGTATTGTTCAAACTACCTCATTACTGAGATACTGAAGGGATAAATTATTACAGTTTCTATAACCTGAATGTGACATATTTAAGATACAGCTTTAGCAGAAAACAAAATTATTTATGATATTTTTGCAACACAACCTGATTTGCACTTGAAAAGGCACCAGAAGTCAGGACAGCGATGGCCTGTCAGCAGGTCACAAAGCTGTGCTGCTTAAATCCTGATAATGAGAGGTATTTAAAAGAGATAAAAATAAACATTCTAAAAATGAAATCATCATAACCTGTGAATCATTCTGATGTGACAGCTAGTCTAATAATAAATAATTCAGCTCTTCACTATAACGCGCTTCAGCGCTTCTTAGCGAAGCCGTTTGTTGAGACACTTGGCCCCAGCTCCTCCAGGCTGTCAGGGATCTCCTGCTACATTTGCACTCAGAGTTTTGCTGTGAGACATTTGTGTATGTGCATGCAAACCAGGTGTACTTTACTAATTAGCTCTAAATCAATATTTATGACAACTTCGGTGTTAGAAAATAAAACCAGTGCAAAGTCATCTGAGAGAGGAGAAGAGAGGGGAGGTGTTCAAAAAGACTTGTCAAGCAGACAGAAGCAAGTCTGCTCAAGGTCTCATTAGTTATGTATGGTGTAAGCATTTCTGATCTTAAAACCAGACCAAAGCACACCAAAACTCTACAGTTTAGTTAAAATTCTGATCAATCATTTGCATTCAGAAGTGTCCAGTTTAATAGACTTAGTTTATTATCTTGCAAATCAAACCTGCTCAAATTAGCACAGAACTCCAGGCATTAATAAAATAAACTTTAATAGCACTTTCAAGACTTACCTCGGTCTCTATTTTACATAAAAATATTAGTACTTGAAAAAATAAATGTTATACATCAATAAAAGTAACGAAGATTAACCCAATACATATAGTTAAGTAACTGATCTTTTTATTTCGTTGGATCAAGTCATGTCAATGTGGCTACACATAAAACCATAGGGAACTAGACTTTTAGTTTGGTTCTTGTTCAGTTCATAGTTTGCTAAAATACCTCTGTAGAAACAATAGGCAGCCTCCACTGTCTAATCACAGCAAAGCTAATCACCAACCATAACTTACTAAACTAAAAAGTAAAATGTGAAGTGTTAGCACAAAAAAAAAAAACCAAAAAACCCAAGAGAACCAAACAAGAATAACTTGTAATGCATAATCCTAGTATTAAATTTAGAAAAATAAGAGCACCTCAACAAATATTTGGCAGCTACCATACTGGCATTTTCTTCTGCTGACCACTTGCCTAACCAAGAATGATATTATCATCAACAGTCAAACCAGCAGCCAAAGTTTTCCTTCCACTCTTAAGTCACAGACCAATGATCCAAGATGCCAGACCACTGGAGGGAGATGTAAGTCAATGTACTCACACACAGCACAGGGTGTACAGAAGGGAGCAAAGTGAACCCAGAACCCTGCTATGGTAGATGGAAGGACCCAGGTGATGACTCCAATCATCTTGCCCAACCATCCTGGGAACTCCACTTGCTATGAAGAGCTGAGAAGCCTTTTCAATAGCCAGAACCCCACACAACACATGCACTGTGTGGACACGTAACCCAACTCCACTGCAAGCAGAGTCAGTTCTTACAGAGGTCGCTCCCTGCCCTGCCTCCAAGTTAATGTGGAAGGAGGGGGCACCTGGTGGTGATCTCCTCATCAGTTCTCACCCAAGGCTGGCCAGACCCTGGGTGAAAACCAATCAGGAGGGTCTTTCTTGCCTGGTTGTGGACATCATCCATATGGCAACCCTCATTCAGGGCTGGGGGTTGAACCCCAGCACTTCACATGCAAATGTGACTCATCTACCTGCTACATTTCTTATCTTCCTGCTATGGACACTGAATTGAAAGGCTCAAGGAACATTAACTTCTTAATTTTTGGTGTACCACATGGAGGATTGAGATAGGAGGAACCTACCTGACCTAGGAACTGATGTCAGGAAAGGTAACTAAATGGCATGGCACCCTGCCAAGCACTAACTCTGATCTGAAACAACAATAATTTGAAAAATTATAATTTAGTTTAAAGTTCTAGGAGCCGAATATAGTGTATTATTTCTACATTATAATCTACACAGAAGCCACTTTATAAAAAACAATTCAGCGTATAATTATAAATGTTTTTGGAAGTGCACTGTTAGGAAAGAACTGAGCAGACACGTCAAGGCAGCGGATGAGATGGCAGTGGGGTGTTCCACTCCCCTCACCCTGCAGATCTGACTGTAGGACTGAGGATACATCATGGAGAACAGGACTGGGTGTGCCTCCACTGACATAGTCACGTGCTCTTCAGAACACTTTTCCTTGGGGGAGGCACTGATCTTTCTAAAGGGTCTCATTGGGTACCACTTATGTGAAGACTGAAAAAAAAAAAAAAAATCCAACCCACAAATGAACAACTGACCTGAAATAAATGAAAAATATGGAGTTAAATTTTTAAACTTTGGATCTGAAAGGCAAAACAATGAATATGCAGATGTTCTAACAGCCATGGGCATAACACCGAAGACTAAGTAATTTTAATGCCATTCCGTTGACTCTCAGAAACTTGGAAAATTATTAAAATAATCAATTAATTCAATTAAAAAGAAACACCAGTATAAATTGCTGATTGGAAAATTAGTTATAAGTTCTTTTTCAGAAAATGTAGGCTGAATAAAACTTCGGCAAAATGTTCCATTCTGAAAAAAGTAAAAAACTACCAAGATATTTCTCATCACTAATTTAGTTTTTCTTTAGGATTATATAGGGGTTTGGGTTTTTTTAAATCTGTCTGTATCAGCTCCATGTTTCCAATAATTATAGTGTCATTGACTAATTCCTAACAAATACTTGAAAAGGACATAAAAGCCTTAAAAATACACATCACAACAGATTACATAGCAAGGGTTAGCTAAGTAGAGACTATTAACATTCACTGAAGGAGGAAAAAAATACAAACTGTATTCACTTGTTTATAAACAAAGCAATCCATTGCAGAAAGGAAATGTCAATCCTTAATATTAAATAGATACTTCAGACATTATGTTGTGTTTCCAAATGTCATCATTAAAAACTGTACAGTCCTTCCTACGTGTCATAAAGCTATGTGAAAAAAATTTTCAAAGTCAGAAATTTGAACTCTTCCATCACAGTACAGGAATTTCAGATAAAAGGGCACCCCCTCCCTCTGAAATGTTACTGTAATACAATGTTCTGATACTTTAAGTGTACTACTAGGGCTGCATGGCAACTGGCAACAACACTGAATAAGTTAGATATTTAAGATCATGCTAAAATCAAATTTAAATTTTCCATCCCATCCCATTCTATAAGGTCACTAGAAGAGAGATGTAGCTGAGACACATGTGAGAAGATGATTGGAAGTGATGGCAGAGAAAAGGAATATTGTTATTGTGGTGTTCATCCCTTGCAATACCAGATCTGGTTAATGTATACATTGGGATTATTCATTTTTTATTTTCTGAACACACTGCTTTGCATTTGTATTGAATACCTCATTTCAACTTCAGTTTCCTTTTTGCTCTTCAAACAGCTGTGAAACCCACAGCTGCCCTGTGCCAGCAGAAGTGTAAGAGGAGTGGGACTCTGCAAAGTAATTATTGTTCAAGCAACTTTGGTAAGGAAGCAAAGTTTGTTTCTTTTTAATTATCCACTTGTCACGGTGTTTTTAGATTCATAGGAATTGTACCTGATGTAGTTCTGAGTTACCATTAATGCACAGGCTGTATTTTTACACCATCTTATGTGCCTGAAGCAGGCACTGCAGGTGTACCCGAGACAAAGGCGCTTTCTCGGGCTGAGGGCAGTGCTGATGGGTTGCTGTGTTGTCACTGTAACCAACCTGTAACCAGCCACTACATGTTTTGTGCTTTACCTCCTGACTATTCCACAATTCACTTTACAGACTTCCAAAACATTTTGAAAAGAAATCAGAAGACATGGAAACTTAGGAGCACTGCTTTCCATACACAGGCAGGAATCACTGGGGAAAATGGTGCCTGCTGTGCATGTGGTTGGCATTGGCACTGCTGATTTACTCAGTTCTCTCTCTGAGTATTTTCCAATATTAATGCTGGAAGCTTTTTTCATTCTCTGTAATATGCTTAAAAAAATTGATGAGGCAACTTCCCCCCTTCCTTTTTTTTTTAGTTTGTTAATTTTTTTTTTTTACTGTAACCTTATAGCTGATTTGCCAGTGGTATAGGCTGGCCCAAACACCAAAAGAAGCAGGTAGAAAAAAAGAAATGCTCCCCTCTTGCTAACTACACCTCAGCTGTTGTGGTTGATGGTAAATGACACT